AATACATAACTGGGCACATTTATAAGATAGTTGCAGTTTGTGAATACCCCCAAAACTGGAAACAACCCAAATGTCTATCAACAACAAAAATAGGTATATTCATTTAATGGAATACTATACAACAAGAAAAATTAATCAACTACAGGCATATACAACCATATGGATGAATCTTAACATTGAGCCAAAGGAGAGCGGAACAAAAGATTACATATTGCATATACACATTTACATAAAGCTCTGACAGAGAGAGACCTATAAATACTTAGGAAACAAAACATTAAAGAAAGGCAAGGAAGCGATTGCCATAAATGTCAGGATATTGGTTACCTAATGGGCAAGGGAGAAGAAGGTAATCTGAAAAGGGCAGGCAGGGGGCCTTGGGTAACATTCTCTTATTAGCAATATTCTATTGTTTAATCAGAATGGTGGTTACATGGATGGTCACTCTACTATAATTCTTTAAACTGTAAATTTGACTTATCCACTTTACTGTGTTTTATTTCATATAAAAAATATTTAAATTCATTAAAATGCCAGGATTCATCAAAACTACTCTATTATAGTAAATTAAATAGGTACCAAAAATGTCTAAAAGTATATTTTAAAATTAAATCAAATTAAATATAAGGCAATTGTTCAAATGTTGGTACAAATTTGCACAGATAAGACTGGCTTTTACATAGGAGCCAAAGCCCTTCCGTTCAATATGACCATGAAAGAAGACTAATATGTTCATTTAAATACGTATAATTATTAAATGCTGTGGTAGGCAAGTTCTAAAACAGCCTCCAAAGATCCCTACCTCTTAGTATTCATACCCTTGTCTAATTCTCTCTGAGTGTGAACTGAACCAATGATTTATTTTTAACAAATAGAAAACAGCAAAAGTATTAGGATATAACTTCCAAGATTAAGTTACGACTATATGTCTTGTCTTCACCACCCTCTCTTGCTTTCTCACTTGCTCCCTCTGAGGGAAGCCAGCTGCCTTGTAATGAGCTACCCTATAATGAAGCCAATGTGGCAAGAAATTGGTATCTGTTTCCAACAGCCAGTGAACAAGCTTGGAAGGGTTCCTACCCCAGCTGAACCCTGAGATAACTGCTGCCTTGGCCAACACCTTGATTGCAGCTAGGTGAAAAACCCAGAGCCAAGGCACCCAGCTACTCCACACCAAGATTCCTGACCCAAGATATTAAATGTATATCTTAAGCCATAAAGTTTGAGGGTAATTTGTCATACAGCAATAGATAACTACCGTAAATGCCTACTGTGTACCATGTACCTTTCGTTCTCTTAATATTCTAAAGAGTCAGTAGGGAAAAATAAATCAAAACTGAAGGTTAACTGTAGAATTCTAACAGCTCTAAATTACTAGCCAGGTGTGACACTGAAGTAATAATTATGTTAAATCTGAAAAGGATTTAACTTCTTTGATTGGTATATATATCAATGTGTAAAGCAACACTCATCATAACCCTAACTAAAAGTTATAAATGAAATCACAAAGTTAATTTTCAACGTATGAATGTTAATCTTAGGGAAAAATTTCAAATATGGTTAATCTGGTTAATCTATATTTCACTTGAATAAATTCAACTATAAACTATACTACAGGAGATGAAACCTTTAACAACTGTATTTATTTTGAGGATTTAACATGCAAATATACTTTATTATACAAAAGTATTTCAAAGAGTTCGTGGAAAAATAAAATTAAAAAATAATACAAATCTTTCCATGAACTTTTTGAAATAACCTCATACATGCAAGAGAAAAATATAACCATTCACTTTATTCTGTCTGCACTAAAACATTACGTATTAATCAACTGTATTTTCTAGGCTAAAGCTTATTATTGACTACAAATCACTACAGTACTTGACTCTAATTATGGTAAAATTTCTGAAATTTAACCAAAGTAACAGGTAAATTTTTAAGGTTTGTTAACCTAGTTCCTCAGAGTCACTTGTGTAATTAAAACTGAAATACTCAAACATGGGGACTGATCAGTTGGTTAGAGCATGGTGCTGATTGGTTAGAGCTGACTTGGTTAGAGCGTGAACCAAGGTCCAGGGTTCAATTCCTGTACCAGCCAGCCGTCAAAGGAAGAAAAGAAAGAAAGAAAGACTCAAACATGGACACACTAAAAAAAGCCAAAATGTCATACTGACAGTATAATCATTGCACTCTACAGGCACCAATATCCATAAGCAGTTGGAACTAGTATGTTTCTTGGTTAAACTCTCTACTATAAGAAAATAGTCTAAAGGGAGAAAAAAAAAACATCAAAATCACAAGAATATTAGATTTGAACTAAAGTCAAGCTGAGAAGTTCTACAGCACAATTTAACCACAAGTTTAATAACAAAAATACAGAAACATGATACTAGAGTTATGTGATCAAAGGCAGTATCATAGGAGTTACTGAAGGCCATTAGCCACCACTACATCACAGAAAGGACAAGTTAGGATCACAAGGAAGTTACGTTGAGAAAAAATTCTCCAATCTTTTCTTCTGTACATTTTATGATAGCTTTTGTTCTAAACTACCTTTCCAAGGATGTTTGCAGAGAACAGCCTGGCAAGACAGAAATAGTGACTTCCTCCAGGGCAAAGGGCAGATATGTTTTCTGACCAATATAATAAAAATAGTGTCTCCCTGCAGAAAAAAACTGGACAGGTTTGCTACCAGCCCCCTTTAAAAGACAGGGGTTTCCTAAGCTCAGGGTTCCTTAGCTGTAACACAAACTCACAGTGTGTACAGCACATTTCCACACTGCCCTCAAAGGACTTGGGGTCAGGCAGAACTGATACAAATATGAAGCTGAGACTGCCAGATGTGCCATGAGTAATAAAGTCTTTTACCTTCTCTTGTCTTAGGTATTCTGCCAGCATCTATGAAACTGCGGCAGGCTAACTTGTTAGCTAGCTAATAAGGAAAATAATCTCAAAGCCTTCACAGCTTTTTATAGCTGTAAACTGTATCCATATCTAACCTGAGACAATTTAAAGTCCAACAATTTGTTGCAAGCATCAGTACACTTGTAGAGAAGCAGTGATTAACACTAAGAAACCTATGGGGCTAATGAAAACCTTAAATTTTAAGGACACATAATAACTAGCCATTTCATTTAACCTTCATGTATCCTTATGCTTGGACTGTTCATTTCGTTAACCTATTTACTAATTCATTATTCAAGTACTTTCCTATGTACTGAATCTCATTCTCAATGAGTTCAAAGTCTAAAACAGAAAGAAACATGTAAAACTAATGCAACACTATTTCACACAATCCGTTTAAAATGATGGGCGTATGTATGAAACATGAAAAATTATCACTTTTCCCAGATAATTTTCCACAGCAAAAATTTTGAGTGTACATGTTGCACTCATAAATTTATTCCTATATATTATATAATGGTCAGCTTAGCTACTCAAAGTGTGGTCTAAGAACCAAGAGCTTCAACATCACTTGCAGCTTGTCAGCCTCCAACACAGGCCCCCTTAATCAGAACTTGCATTTTAACAAGATCCTCAGGTGATTCACATGCATATTGCAGTTTAAGAAGTACTGCACTACCAGATATTTAAACAAATGAATGACTGAACACCACCTGCTCCCCAACCTAAAAAAACTCAAGAAACACAAGTAAATCTTAAAGTTATAATGAAGATGTTTCTATTAATAGAGAAATTAAAATCACAATTATTAACTTGGCTAAAGCTAAAGATAAAAAAAAAAGTCATAAGCCATATAAAAGATATATAGCTATCAACACTAGTATAATCCAGAAAAATTTAATCTGGACAAAATCAGAAAAAGTTAAAAACAGGACATAATGAAAAATCAAAAGAAGTGGCAATATCATAGTAATATTGTATCAATGTAATGTTATGGCAATGCACACTTAAGAGTACTTCATCAAAAGAAAAAAATTTCCCATTATTTTCTTTTCTTTTTTCTTTTTTTTTTTTTTTTAAAGATGACCAGTAAGGGGATATTAACCCTTGACTTGGTGTTGTCAGCACCACGCTCTCCCAAGTGAGCCAACCGGCCATCCCTATATAGGATCTGAACCCACGGCCTTGGTGTTATCAGCACCACACTCTCCCGAGTGAGCCATGGGCCGGCCCCCATTATTTTATTTTCAAAAAGAATAAAGATAGCCCAGAACACGGCACATTATACATGGTTATACAGTTTTTAAAATAAGTAAGAAGTACCCAAATCAGACAACTCAAAGTAAAAATATCATAGACCTGAAACAGTTAGAAATTCAAAGAAAAAAAGAGCCTTCAAAATTATTTTAGTGGGGCTGGCCAGTTAGCTCAGTTGGTTAGAGTGCAGGTTATAACACCAAGGTCAAGGTTTCAGATCTCCTTACTGGCCAACTGGCCCCCACACCCCACCCAAAGTTATTTCAGCATGCAATCCAGAGCACAGAATTTTGCCTATTTGATTTTCACATATTTTGCACACGTGTAAAATGACTGAGGAATTTTATAAATGTTAAATTAAAACATCTGGCAATAAAATTGTTAATACAAAATTGTCTTTTAGCTATCCTGCATGACTTAGACTTTCCAAATTCTAAATAGGTAACTATGTTTTTACTTGTTTTTCCCCACATATACTTTTACCATGAGAAAAACTGTAACCCTACTTAAGGCTATATTATCTAAACTTTCCTAAGTTTTCCCTTCATGGTGAAGGGTAGGCTGTCATTTGATAATTCTATTTTCTATTCTTATAGATTTGAGGTAAGTCATTGCAGTCAATCTTATTGAAACTTTTCAGAACATCTCCAGAAAAGGATTTTTAAAATGTCAAGTTGTAAAGGTAAAAACAGTTAAAATATCAAAGCTTAGGAAACTTCTTTAATATTCAAATGTTTTAAAATATTTATATATATATATAAGCCTAAAATGCTTTTATAACATGGGAACAGCCAACAACAATAAATGAAACATCACGTAAAGCAGACAAAATAGTATACCTCTCTTTTATTTCTTCTTGCAACCTTGAGGAATTCCATAAGGATCTGTAGTTGGGCTGCATGTGATTCCTACAACAGAAAATTATAGTTGCTCTTTTAAAAAATATAACTTTGAGTTCAAAGTTTTCTTTAACACCACAGTATAACTAGTATGAAGCAACTTTATACATCCATTTATGTTAGTCTATTACTTCTATTAATCAGTTTTCCCATTTGTTAGTTGACTTTTAAAAGCAAGCAATTTTCCACGAAACTAAGACTAATCTTAGGAAACGTGTTCTAAATTACATTCCTTACCTACTATGCTGAAAAATGTATGGGGAATAGCAATTCTGTTATCTGACTCATAGGAATCTCTTCCCCAACAAAACAACTGAAACATCAAGACAAAAATCATAGTGGAACTTGTTTCTAGATACTAAAATCACTTTCCCATAAGATCCTCATTTGCAGCGGTAAGTGTAATAAACACAGAGAAATCCATACCTTTCAGAAGTCAAATCTACTCATGCAGATGTGAGAATTATGTGGAGTATACTAACATTTATGAAGCAAATGTATTTCACAGGGCCTAGTTTCCAAAGCCCTGTAGTTTCAGATATAACCTAACTTTTAAAATTACATATAGAAAGGGCTGGCCCGTGGCTCACTCGGGAGAGTGCGGTGCTGATAACACCAAGGCCATGGGTTCGGATCCCATATAGGGATGGCCGGTTTGCTCACTGGGTGAGCATGGTGCTGACAACACCAAGTCAAGGGTTAAGATCCCCTTACCAGTCATCTTTAAAAAAAAATAAATAAATAAAATAAAATAAAATTACATATAGAAAGGGCTGGCCCGTGGCTCACTCGGGAGAGTGCGGTGCTGATAACACCAAGGCCACAGGTTCAGATCCTATATAGGGATGGCTGGTTGGCTCACTGGCCGAGCATGGTGCTGACAACACCAAGCCAAGGGTTGAGATCCCTTATCAGTCATCTTTAAAAAAAATAAAATATAAATAAATAAATAAATAAAATTACATATAGAAATGTTAAGCTTGCAAAACACAGGAAACTTCCCCAGGCTAAAGTCTCTGTCGTAGATAAAGAATTGTAACACAGCAAAATTGCTGGCTCAAGGACAGATGTCCTTGGAGCAGGTTAACCTACTGATTGATATGTTAAGAAAGTCGCTTTATTTTTACGTAAAAATACTGAGGAAACTGCCGTAGGAAAAGACGGTATTTGCTAAGAACAAGTTTTTGTTGGTGGATCGGCTTAACCTTTTGCAAACTGCATTATGGAATGTCACTTTGTTATTTCACTGATGTTACCAGCCTCTATTGTTAAACTATACTTAGCCATAACTACACCTATGTTCTTTTTCTGTAACTTTCTGGCCTGGAGAATAAACACTGAGAAAGAACACCAGTCTGGTGTTAATTTCCTGAGGAATAATGCTTCTCTCTAGGTTGAGATCCCTTATCAGTCATCTTTAAAAAAAATAAAATATAAATAAATAAATAAATAAATAAATAAAATTACATATAGAAATGTTAAGCTTGCAAAAGACAGGAAACTTCCCCAGGCTAAAGTCTCTGTCGTAGATAAAGAATTGTAACACAGCAAAATTGCTGGCTCAAGGACAGATGTCCTTGGAGCAGGCTAACCTACTGATTGATATGTTAAGAAAGTCGCTTTATTTTTACGTAAAAATACTGAGGAAACTGCCGTAGGAAAAGACGGTATTTGCTAAGAACAAGTTTTTGTTGGTGGATCGGCTTAACCTTTTGCAAACTGCATTATGGAATGTCACTTTGTTATTTCACTGATGTTACCAGCCTCTATTGTTAAACTATACTTAGCCATAACTACACCTATGTTCTTTTTCTGTAACTTTCTGGCCTGGAGAATAAACACTGAGAAAGAACACCAGTCTGGTGTTAATTTCCTGAGGAATAATGCTTCTCTCTAGAGGGTTCCTGGAAATTAACCCCTTCGGGGTTTCTCACTGCTCAGAAGAAATGGGCTTTGAGTAATCCTTTGAGTCTTTGTCACCCAGCGGGAGAGAGGTAACAAAGAGAGTGCAACAGAACTAATACACTTCTGTAGAAGGTTTCAGTCAAAAACATTTGAAACCAAAATATTTTAATATAATCAAGTGGGGGTTAAGGAGGGGAGAAAGTAACCCAAATCGGTAACTGAAACAAACATGAAAGAGATAAATGATAATTATGAGCCTTGACATTTTCTGGGTATCAAAACATAAAAATACAAGTATGTACCTTTACTGTTAAAATTCACAGGAAGAACCAAGGAATTCCAGATGAATTTGATAAATATACATAAAAACAATATCAAAAGCTAAAAACAGAATAACAATAAGAGATGGTTTGTGAACAAATATAATGCTTATTTTTCTTATATATATTTATTTGAAAGGGGAAATAAAAAAGCCTAGTGGAGCAATTCCAAAACAAACAAAAATAAATGAATAAGAAAGATTAATAAAACTTTCATTTACCAGGCTAAGCAACATTATTATCTAGGGCATTTGTTAAAATAGACACTGGCAGATTTTAGAAATTCTGATTCTATTACTCTAGAAAAGGTTCCAGGAATCTATGTTTAACAAGTGCACAGATGATAAGAATAAGGCAATCAAAATTTGAAGAACCACTAAGATACGACACATACTACAAAACAACATAGCCACCTTACACCCACTCTGAGAGTGTATTCCTTTGGAGAGAGAAAAAGAATCTTTGCATTAAAAACTCCATTCTCATCTACTTTGCCTTTTATCCTTTTAAGTCAAGGCAAATAAGGAAATATGAAGATAAATATGAACTGACAATCAAAACAGGATATTCCCATTTAAAAACACAACTGAATTAATATGTTTTACAATCAAATAAATTTGGAAGACATGGTATCATGAAGATTGAAATTTTTCTGGCATATCAAACCAGCTTTAATTGGACCTTAGACCCATTTCTGAAAAGTGAGTTAAACTGTCACACAGAACAAACTCACAAGGGGTCTGTGTTCCAACAGTGATGACAAAGCATCCAGATCCTCGGCATGTTTCTTGGGACTTCTCTACACTGATTATCTGTAACTGTCCACATATTATTTGTCTAGAGAGCAAGGACCATATTTTTACACAAAAAGAAACATATACTTCCAAGACTGCTAATATAGTAACATAGTTCATTTGCAAAGGAATGTACAAACTATCTTCAAAGTAGTAAGTCTGAATACTACATTTCAGTCTATCAAGTACAACATGTAAATAGAACATGCAATTGATTTGTAGGAAGGGATAGGTGGAAGCCTCATGGTCAAAGAGAAAAATGGGACCAACTATATACACTAGGAATTCAGTACATGGCACCTTCTTCTGCAGATTAATCTTCTTTAAAGGAATAAATACACTAAAGGAGATAAATGGCAAATTTATGAAACTGTAATTTCATATGTAAATATGAAAGAAAATTATATAGAAGAGATAGTGGAGGAGTAAAAAGAGAATCTTAAAAATGGGAAAAGTATAGCCAATTACATCAAAATAATGTCTAGCCATATAATGTTTTCTTAGAACAGTCTCAGAAATTGCACATGAAAGTAATCTCCTTAAGTCATTTAACCCAGTACTAAAAATAGGAGTTCAAGAAGCTAATTCTCTGAACATTTCTTACAATTGTCAAAATTTCCAAAAAAGATCATTTAGCCCAATTCTTTTATTTTCAGGTAAGGAAATGGAGTAAGAAAGGGTAAAAAGAAACATATTTAGAAGAAAAAAGAAACATACATATTTAGAAACTAAGTCCCACTCTCAGTACTCTTTGCAATATAGCAAGTTTTTGTCATGTTTGTCCCATCCAGTTCACAGTCAATTGTTTCACGAGAGTCCACGTCTGCCATGTGAAATGGAATTTGCTTCAAATTTTTATAAAACAGTGGTTTTCTATATTTTCCTATCATTTTCTGCAATTAAGTTTTGATTTTATTCTAGAAATCAGAAAAAAATAGTTATCTCTATTGTGGAAATAGAAGCAACTGCCTAATCAGAGCCTAATACAATTAATCATACATTTAACTCTTCTTGTTCTAATTCTATGCTTTATTATCCTTTTGATATATGGCATGTTAGATAGCTTTCCAAGTGGGAGAAAATGCACTCGTCAGACCTACATAAACATCTAATGTAACTGATCTTTAATTTTACTCTAAATGAGTAACTTAGTCCTTATGAATTTAGTTACCATGAGTTCATCTTCTCAAGTAAAGTCTATAGCAGTCTCTCAACAGGAGAACAATGAGCTTTTTTTTTTTTTTTTTTAAAGATGACCAGTAAGGGGATCTTAACCCTTGACCTGGTATTGTCAGCACCACGCTCTCCCAAGTGAGCTAACCGGCCGTCCCTATATAGTGATCCAAACCTGTGGCCTTGTTGTTATCAGCACCACACTCTCCCAAGTGAGTCATGGGCCAGCCCTGAACAATGGGCATTTTAAGGGAAGAAATGGAGGAGACTTTCCAAGGAGAATGATATAGGCATGTTATTCAGAAAAACAAAAGTAAATAAAAACAATTAAAATTTGAAAAAATTGCTTCGAGGGAGTTGATGAAAGAGATAGGAATTAATGATGCAACTAGAGATTGTTGATTTTTGGTATAAATCTTGTTAATGTTTGACATTATAAATTAGGAGTATTTATTAACTTGGATTTTTACTTAAAGAGAGGAGAAAGGAAGGGTAAGGAAAAGCAAGAGAGAGAGAGGAGAAAAAAGAAAAGAACTTTCCTGGTGTGGTGACAAGAAATCAAGAGTTCTAAGATTCTAACCTAAAAACCCTATATAATTTTGTGAGTGCTTCACCTACTTGGCTTCAAATTCCCTCTCAGTAAAATGAGCAGGTAACATTTCACAAACAAGTCATTTTACAATACCTTACAGAAGACACTACTATTATTTAGGTGATAATTTTTTTCTGTATCAACACATTTTTTTCCTTAAATCCACTGTCGAAAGAAAATTTCTAAAGGATATTCACTTCTGCTTGTATAATTGACAACAGCCTT